CTTTCCTGGCCTTTTTCGTTTGCCTTGTTCTTTCTTTCAGGCTTGTTAGGTTGGCATCCAGGCTTGTTTAGTCAATGCGCTCTCTCACCCTCTTTTTCCCGCCCAAAAACGAGCGAGCGCCGACTTACGGCCCTGTGTGTGTGTGTGTGTGTCCACACCTGTACCGAAGGAATTTTAACACTGTACAGTGCAGGGGGCCGGAGCCAGGTGGGGGGTCTCCGGCCAATGAAGACACCCCCCACCTGGGTGCAAACGCACCTGCTTTTTTCTATTTTGACTCTTAATCAAATTCTAAAGTGATAATGCAAGTCAAGGTCTAACTGCGTGTAAAGGTCTACCTGCAGTAAAGTGGAATTTCACCAACTGATTCAGCTCTTGTAAAGTGCTAATGCAAGTCAAGGTCTAGTTGCATGTCAAGGTCTACCTGCAGTAAAGCAGAACTTCATCATCTGACTCAGCTCTTTTAAAGCGCTAATGCAAGTGAAGGTCTAATTGCGTGTACAGTGGAACATCACAACTGATTCAACTCTTGCGAGCATCAATCTAAGTGTGTGTGTGTGTGTTCGGTGCAATGACCTATAATTATATCGCATGCAAGTGTAATTAAATGGCATTGCAAGTGTACTTTTCTATACATGCCATATATCCGCCGATCCCAGCCGATGGGGGAGCGCACCAGAGAACACCGCCCGATCCGGAGGAAGATAGGGGAGAGGTATAGAGACCGTCATACAAGGGCCAAGCAGGTGAGAGAATGGCTCATGGAAGGGGATTGCTACTGCTGTCAGAAAGCAGCGTTTGGCACCGAGAGAGCAGCTCCGAGGACGAATTTTGGGTCGTTTTGGTGTGAGATTAGATGGTGGAAAGGCGTGGCGAAGGGAATTGTCGGGAGCTTCCGTACAGGGCGCAGCTATGGAGATCGCATGGATGTTATCCAGTCGCAGGTTAGAGAACGGCTTCTGGAAAAGGTGAGGGGGTAGAGACACGGCTGCATGGCCGTAACCCACGGGTGAGAGACGGCTCATGGAAGGGGATTGCTACGGCAAGGGTTCATGGCTTTCATCACTCCTTTTTGTCAAAGGTTCCTTGCTTATTTTCCCTTTTGTCAAGGGCTCTTCATCTCCAAGTGGTAAGGCGGCTATCTTCTCACCTTCTAGTGCGCCAAAGCACTTTGGGAAGCCCTGGCTGTCCACACTGACATCACTTATCTCCTTTTTGAGGCTCTTGCTCTCTGTGGCAGCCTTTGTGTGCTCCGTGTGCTCTGCTTCCCTTTTGTCAAGGAAAGTGACCTGCTCCGGTGCATCCTTTGTTCGATCATCTGCGCAACTTCTTTGAGCTGTACAAACTCAGCACCCGACGGCCTAGCGGCACACAGTTGGAGATTGCTTTTGGCAAGCCTTCTCATATGAAACATGAGCACACCCAGCCTCTCAATTCTTAATCCAATCCACACAGCTCCATTGAACTTATTGTCAATTATGGACGCATTTGTCATCAGGACCTGGAACAATGCCCTTCGAAGGCGTCCAGTATGTATTTCACATGTGCTCTCCAATGCAAGCAACCCTTTTGTCAAGGGTAACATCTTCATCAATCCTTTTGGATTGCAATTCTTGCTTTTACTGATTTGCTCATAAGGCCCCATGTTTTGGAGCAAATCAGTGTTCTTAACAAACACCCTCATTGATAAACCCTCATCCACTTCTGGCTTCTTGGTGTGCAGGTTGCCACCTTTGCCAGATGGCAACCCACCCTTGCGGTGTGACACCTGTTTTTGTTAGCAGGGATGTCTGTGTATGGGGTCCACCCCATGAGCAAAAAATTCAATAAGGAAATCAGTTGCAAAATCCATTGAAATTCATCAGCTTCAGATCAATAACTTTTGAAATTTTTTCATCTTTGGCAGTTATAGAACAATCCATATTTGAAATCAATATAATTCAAACAATTCCAAATGTTATTGATTAGAATCAACAGCCGATGTCCAAGGTTAAGCGTAGCTTGCTATACGGAGACGTGCCCGATGCCGCCGACCTCTTTTCTAGCATCGCCCGACCTCAGGTGGATTCGTCAAAAAAACATCAAAAACACATGGAAAATGATCAAACATGGCCACTGATGAAACAGTCCAAACCTCTTGAAAATAGAGCAATGAACATGGATACAAGCTTAGAGGATAAATTTGGGTCGAGCATCATTAGCATCAGCAGAGTCTCGGCAGGAAAGATGCACATTCTTTGGTGCACGACTAGGCAGAAAAGACTGTAAATTACAGTGTTCTTGCAGCATGTATGTAGTTTATGAAGAACGCGGCTCGTATTCTGGTGATGCCAATGGTGCTCGACACAACTGCTACCTCAAAACTTCCTCTCCTCTTAGCATACTTTCTTCTCTAGAGATAGAGCTTGACAGTAGCAATTTTTATCATTTTCCCTGTGTTGTTGACGTTTTTGAAGAAAATACATACGTCCCGGTGATGTTCAAAATGTCGGTTTGCGGCCGACATTTCTAGCACCACCTGGGCTTATATGGCTTCTTCCAATATCAGGACTTTGTAGTGGAAAGCGCTGAAAAAGCTTGTATTTTTGGGCATTTCCTAGCCTAATTGCTTTAGGCACAATGTTTCAGCGCTTTCCACTACAAAGCCATGATATTTGAAGAAGCCGTGCGCTCTCGTGTGCGTTCGTGTGCGGGTGAAGCTGAGGTTGCCTGGCTTTTCCATCAGACCCTGGTGCGCACACCTGTGTGGGAGTGTGCAGGCGTAAGAAGCTGTGCTAATCGTCGCATTTTGCTGTGCAAGGAGCCTCCGGATACGCGCAGTCCCCCCAAGGGCGTCGCCGGTGGGCGAAGCCCGCCAGTATATATAGGTACTGTTACAGTATGTTACAGTAAGTGTCTGTGGGAAGTAAAACCCGTGGCAAAGCTAGCAAACTCTGGAGTAATCCACAGAATTCAAACACAGTCAGTCACAAACATCAATGAATTTGTAATGCATGCGAGTAGGGATCTGGGGATCTCATATTTTCATGGCTTCTCACCACACACATGTTGATCTTCACCTCAAAGTCAAATCCTCCAAACTGCAATCCCACCCCAAACACCTTCTCAGCAGGTAGTGGGAACCCTGCACTCATGTGTCCCTTGGTCTTTGGGCTCGTCTTCCTTTCCAAGGCGCTTCTCAAGGATGGCGTTCCAGTCATCACCCTTCTTGCTGTCTAGGACCTGGACATTCAGAGGGGCAAACGAAGCAAGCTGCTCGTTTTGCGCAGAAGTCAAAAGGCCATAATGATGCACCGTATAGACCCATAAATATTATGACAGTTATATCAAGTTCTTTTGGATGTATCTGCGCAACTGAGAGAAATTGCTCGCACTCATCTTTTATCACATCAAAACATCTCCGTCTTGTGAGGTCACATTGGCAAAGAAACCCTGATACGGACAGAACAAAAGAAGGTCTTGCACTACATATCATCACACGTATTCTATGGCGCCAAGATGGCAAGATGGCACACCAAGGGACACAGTATCAAGACTGCCAAGAACACTTACAAACCACACAGTGATGTCCTTTGGGGAAGAATAGAGGAGTCGGTTTGGTACCATTTACATCCATTTACCTATTGGTTGTACACTTGGGGATATCCTCTCTATTAATCAACCAATAGCAAAAGGCCATCTATGAAACCACCAGAGTCGCCAGTCATCTGTGTCTCACACTTTTTTCGAGCATCCATCACTGGGGTTCCCTACACCTGGCGTGACCATACAGCCGGCATTGTCCAGGCCAAACGCCTTTTTGGAATACCTCAACAGTGCAAGGCGTGTGAAACCTCAGGTTTCGACCAACAAAGACGAGGAATCCCTGAGGAAGGGTCTGTTCTCACCTGAGTTCAGGTCGCATGGAGCAAAACCCTTTTGAAGCAAAACAAGTGGGGAAAGATCGGAAACACTCAGACTTGAATCGCTTCAGACTTAGATAAGCAATACAAACTGTCTATTGGTAGTACATCAACACGTAATGAAATAGACATGTACATATATGTATATATATATATATCAGTTCCAGCAAAAACATATTCAACTGATTCCGATCCCAGGCATTGAACGACATCATTCACCAACAACTCAACAAAAGGCACAACTAACTTGCTTTGGAGAAAGGCTTCATTGAACAAGAAGCTACTATAGGGGCTCCTGGCATTGCTACCAATTAGGAGCTTCCTTTGGCTTCATTGAAAGCGCCCCTTCTGTTTCTTCGCTCCTTTCCGCCCGGCGGCTCGGGGAGCCAGCGCTTCAGGAGCGCTTTGCCCTCGTGCTCCCGAATGGACTTCACCGACATGGCGCAGCTCGCGAAACCGTGCGAGGGTCGTCTTCGGGTCGTCTACGGTCGTGCACGGTCCGTGCGAAACGGACGGAAGTTGTTCGATCCACTCGACAGTTGGCATCGTTCGACTTGCTCGGAAGTCGGTTGTTCACGGTATACCCGGTATAAGATCACGAATGACGAGGCAAAAAAGCAGACGGCACGTCCGCCTTGAAGCAAAAACTGAAGCAATGGAGGCAACGGGTTGTCGCTGACTGTCGGCGGTTCTGAGCGTGTTTCACTGCGCCAGGCTGATGAAACTGAGGCTTCAGTGAAGGGATGACAGTGCAACAAGTTGCGAGGCCTCCTACCCAAGGTTCTACCTCAACTATCATCCTAAACTCTTATTATTTTAATGTCTTAAACTTAGTTTTTCCTTTCTTTCTTTCTCCTCACCCAACAACACAGTCGCAGTCTGTCCAACACGTGGCACGTGGAGCTTGGGACATGACTTGGGCGAATCGAAGCTCGCGCGCCTCCCGAAGCGCGACTTCCTAATCTCATAGGGCGACCCACGGGACCTCGTCATTCCTCGTGTTTCGGACGCGTTCCCCGCCGAATCCGTGGCACGCGTTCCACGTGGAGCCGGAGCCCACGGACGCGGTGGCCGGTGGCACGTGGCGTTTCCACCGTCCTCTGGCTCTGGGGTGCGATCTGGGTACAAGACTCCTCGGGGTTGGCGACACTGGGGATCGCAAGGGCTTTCAAAGGGTCTGGGGCCACAAGTGGATCATGTACAAAACAGCTACAAACTTGCAGAATGCCAATTATCCACTTCTGACATTTGCAACCAGTCTTTCGCGTTCTGTGGCTAGGTTGCGGACGGATATGGAAATACCACCTAAGATTGCCAGGAATCTGGAGTGCAGGGCTGGGATTGTTCCCTCAAACCAATCCAGGGCTGGGCTGCCAGGATCTCTGTGTGCTCAACTACTAGTGTGACTTTGTACAGAAAGAACGTTGCCTTTTGTGGCAGAATGAGGACGCCAGCATACGAGCAACAATTGTCTTCAAGAAATCCTCATGTCAGCAATTACTGAGGTGAGTCAGCGTCTTTCTTGTGCATCTTTTGATGGACCTTAAACCTCCACACCCCATGTTGACCTGAGATGACCTGAGCAGTGAACAAGTTCAACTTGCTAATCGTTTGATGGCACCAGTAATATATAACATTATATATATAATATCATCTGTTGATATCTATCAAAAGCATTTCACTCACTGTCAGAAGATGCCCATGTATGCCTTCGGCTCTTGATTCATAAAAGCCTCCACTTGGATGGTGAAACCTCTTCATATGGGAAGATTTATGAAGGGGATTTAAGCATATGGAAAATAACACATCACCGCAAGCTAAACAACAACAGTTTGGTATTCGGAGAATTGTCATCCAAGGGGTCCAAGGAGCCATGCCATCCACTTCCAGGAGTACGCATTTGGAGTGTAGGTGTAAAAACCTTTGTCATCACACACAAACCAAGCCATGGCTAAAATCTAGAGCCAGTCGCCAAGTCATAGGGTTCACCTCGGAGTCGTTGCGATCAGTCCTTGGCAAAGCATCGAAGTCGGCTTGATGGTATGCCCTGCAACGTACCAGCAACCCTTAGGGCCCATTCATACCTGCCTTATTCCTATTTCTTCATGTTTCGACCGCAAATGATGGTCGACCAAAGGATCCGTTTGGTCGACAGTTCCTCTACGATGGGGCAAAATCTTGTCGGGTTAATGTGTGAGGGAAGTATACATATATATATATAATATGAATATAAATGTAGGTAATCCGTTCAAACATAAAACACGTCAAGCTCTCGTTGTCACTTGATTCAGGGTGCCACTTGTCTGGTTCACTTGATTGGAGCGCCTCATGATGGCATGGTTTAATTTTCTCATGCTGAGGCCTCATTAGCAAATGCTGGCTAGAGCATAGCAACCATCTCCTTTGGCCCTGCAAGTCAGCCAAATGTAAGCAACAGCTGCAACATAGAATCATACGATGTATTGACCCACAAGTGTACTCCACAAGTGTATATGCACCATATGAGTTCCTTGACGTTCAAGCACATGATTCTCAATATTATATCCGCCATCTGCGTCAGTTGAGCCTGACTCTGTTGAGACGCCGGACCCACAAATGGTTCCCAGGGCGACACAAAAAATCATATCACAATGTCGCGCCATCTACTCCAAGAGTTGAGGGTTCAAATGGATTCAATGTGCAAAACACTGTGCAAAACATAACGAGTGAATCTCCAAACAATCTAGTAAGCTAGTAGTGTGATTGCGGGGAGGGAAAAGGTGCCGCTGGTTAAAGCGGAATGCAGAACGCCCCTAATCCCAGGTCCCAGAAGTAATGAAGTAAGTACAGCGAGCTGGATGCAGTACTCACAAACAAATGGTGTTTCAAGCCACCTAACTGTGGTTGAAATTCAACCAGCAGTCACAAAGGTGCTTAATGGAGGTTAGGAGTTAGGAGTGCCCATTACCCACTCACTTAGGGACTTAGGTGCGCACCCCGTCTTGTGACCCCATTCCAGAGTAGCTGTCCTTGTGACTTAGGGGCTACTCCCTCCGTGACCGACCGAAGCAGCCCAAGGGGCGAGGTGGCCCTGCTCGACAGGCCCTGCACGTTGGGCGCCAGGCTCAAGGTGAGCATCACGACATCGTCTTGGAGATCGAAGGATCGGATGGCTCGGAGCGACCGATGGTCGTCGAAAGAATCGGAGATCTGCTTCACGCATGTTCCAGAGATGGTGCGTATTACGAGTGATTGGAAACTCCCAAAGGCCTCAGATATGGGTGTGTAGCTCCCGTTTGGGCCTCCAATCCCCAAATTCGTCTGGGCTCTGCACCCGCTGGCTCCACCTCGTTGCCTCACGGAAATGGGCGGTCTCTCACGGTCCATTCACGCGGTCCATTGACTCAGTTGTGCACGCGTGCCAGGTTGAGTAAAACGCGTGCCTTTAGAACAGGTCACTCAAGCCCAACGCAGCTTTTCTACGACTGCAGCTTTTTTACCTTGCCAAGTTGAGTAAATGGACCGCGTGCAGGGTCAACAGAGGAGTGTCACTGCCAAAGGCCAACGAGGTTTCAGCAAAGGCCTTGTCTGATGGTTTGCCGACAAGGCGGATTGCATCCGCTGACCATTTCAGTGAATCCAGTTGTAAGTCCAATAGTCTGCCCTTCCAGTTCTGCCCAAAACAGGTGCAGGTGATTTTGACGCCAGAATGTCTAGCTAGGCGTATTTGGTGTAGGTATAGGCAAGCAGTGATTTCAAAGGTAAACAAGATATCTGGTAGTCTGCACATTCCCAGTTCTCAAACACACAAGCCACCGTGTTTGTCCATCAGAAAACACATGGTATCTGAACTCTGCTCTTTTCAACTCATCTTCCTAATCAACACAACCTATAAATCTGTATATGAACCTCTAAATCCTGATCTTGAATCCAAGCCGCGCAGTTCAAGCCTTTGGACCGCGGAAGCGAATCTATGCCATCCACAAGAAACCACCCGAGCACGAGCAAAGACTTCAGTCGCATCCAGGAAACCACCCATGTACACCCCCCTCTGGGTCGTAAACCTAGTGGACCTCGGCTTTCCAGCTGCCACGCCTGTCGCCTCCAGACCACTGGTCACCTGGAGTGCCGAGGAACAATCCGTTGAAGGATAAGTTGTGTACCATGAAATAGCAACATGAAGAGTTACATGGAGATTCTTGAGGTTTATATATATATATATGATCTATGATATATAGTAATATTACGTATAATAAATGTGTAATTAATGTGCATGTATTATATACAGTATGTTATAATATTTATTTAGAATCCAAGTGCCACTAACTGTGGATGATGTTGGCTGATCCCAGCTGTCCCCAAGATAGCGATCCTATTCTACCTAGTGTCTCTTGTATATAGTAATGGGACACACCCCAGAGATGTCTAAAAGAAGCTGCTTTGAATGTGTTCACATGTTTTCACACCAAGTGAACCCAAGCCCACCATGAAGACATGCAGGTCTTCAATTCAATCTAGTGAGTCTTGGCTTGGTGTACTCTGAACTTGGAGATGGACCATGGACCATGGATTTCTCCTCAAACGATTTCTCTAGCTGAGGTCAAGCAAATGGGGCACCTTGGGGTCAAGTGCGGGCCTAGTCTAAATGCCTTGGCCTCCACACTCGATTGATGCAGACGCGCCAAAACCAATGCATAGCTCCAAAGTAGCGAGCAATCTGAAGCCCCTATCTTCAATGGAGGTCATATGAATTCATGAAACATCGTGAAACTATCGTACTCACACCAAACAAGAGGATTTTCGTGACACCAATCGTTCTGTCCCGGAATTCAGCTCCAAAGTTTGGAACCAAATCCTGTAATACCTGGAGCCCTCTCAAAACTCTGAATGACCATGAATGACTCATACCAAATCTTAGGCCCGGCTTGGGCCACCAGCCCTGCCCGACTCTAAGGCGAACTCACCCCACCTCGCAGCTGGTAATGTGCTCCGTGAGGAGCTTCGCCTCTTCTCGTGCAGATCGCTTCGCTTCGGAGCCTTCCTTTTCTGAGCGACGGTGAGGTAGGCTCCAAATCGATCGAGAATGTGTTCAAATGGTATTGGAGCTATCGAAGAATCACACCTATCGAGAATGTTCTATCTGGAAGTTTGTTACTTTGAGAAGCTTTGACCGCTGCTCACATGAATACAACTCATAAATCTAGCAACACTGTGGACTCAACTGACTTTCCTCTTTGAAGAGGATACATACAAAAATATTGACATGAAGTGTATACGTACAAATAGAGGATCAAAAGCCTTTCGGGAAAGGGGTGCACACTCGAAGAGTTTTTTGGTGCTGGTTTTTTGCTCCTGTAAGCGAGTTTTGCCCGTTCCAGACAATTCTTCCTTGAGTGGATTCACATTCCACCTGAGAACTATAATGAACATTGATGAACTATGTGTTTAATGACCCACGACTTGGACATAAGATGGCATATGTGTTCTTTTGTGTTAAATTTATTTTACTTTACTGCTCAAATTCTTCAGTGTTCGGCTTCCATGTTGGATTCTTAGTTCGGCTGGTTGATCAAAGCATTGTTGTTTGCTGCATGGCAATTGTCAAAGCATCGGCATGAGAGTACTGAATATTTCCTTGGTTGAGCAGTACACTGAAGCAACACGAGGCCGCCTAACTGGGCCGCTCCCTGCGCCGCCTTCGTCTCATTTGCAAACGGCGACTTCCTCAGTCGTTTGGCTACACGAACGACCCTTCCCCTTGACAACTCACATGCACATTCCCGATGAACACATAGCAATTCCAATTGCAGGCCTTCTTGCTTTCACGTAGGCACGACCAGGGAGATTCATCACACTCCTAGAAAATTCCGGTCATTTAACGCACTGCAAATCTACCGCAACGCATCCTCTTCACGCAAAAAATATGGCAACGCGTGTCAAGTTGGCACGAAGCAATCGTTTCTCTCTCAATCATGATCATATTATCCATGATCATATTACCCTTATCTACTCTCGCTTGCCAGAACTCGAGAGTCAATCAAACACTTTAATACGTCAAACCTTGTCTCTCTCGTAGTGGCATGTAGCGGCTCAACAATATTTTTCTTGTTTGTAACGGCGTGGAGCGGTTCAATCACTTCATATATAGCCACGCTTGAATGTGAACAATTTGCACCTTTTACTTGTGTTCACTCAGCAGTTTCGGAATAGCTTCATGCAGTGCAATATAATCAGGGTTGCCAAGAGGGAGTCCTATGCCCTTGGGTCTTACAGTCTTGCAGTTTTTGATATAATATTGTTTTTTTTGTTGTTGTTGTGAAATTGACGACAAACATTATGAGGGATCGCGTTCTTCTTGCTTGCAGTCGTCCCGAACTGCTTAAATCAGCCAAACTACATATCCATACATATCCTATAAAGTAGCTGAATGGAGAGACAGTCATCAATCAACTCCATGCGACTTGGAGCAGCAACTGACGAAGTGCCAGAGATGTGTGGATTGCTTCAACGGTGATAAACAACCTCTAAAACAGCTTGAAACGAATAGAAACAATATTTTGAAAGTCCCATGGTCCCTTCTGCCAGTGGGTAAACCTGCTTCGCTGTAGCACTTGGGTTCAGCCAGAACCCCGTATTTCGATCCACTTAAACATCTGGGGTCGCCACTGCTCCACTGCTAATGGTGCAAAGACCTGATGCAGCCCGTGCGCGTCCGCATTCCAATACCCTCCCGTGAAGGCCTTGCCCCGAAAGAAGATCTTCTGAATTGTCCAACCAAGAGGGTGTGCTCCACTTGGATCAGAGGGAGGGGATACACCCAGGAAGATTCACATGGTGGCATGGACCTTTGCAAGAGGATTTTCCTCCACACCGCAGTGCTTTTCACCGGGAATTTGGACATCCCTGGGATACCGGGAAGTTGGGACATCTCCGAACCCGGCCCGCGCATGGCATGCCCGGCTCGGCCGATCGGGAGTGGAACGAGGTTAAGAGGTGCAAAAAACAACCAATCCAAGACTTCGCTACTAGCTTGGAGGCCATAGCTCTTAGGTTGGAGGCCATAGCTCTTAGGTTGGAGGCCATCGCTAGTAGGTTGGAGGCCATTGCTAGTGGGTTGGTTAAGAGGTGCAAATGCCAAGTACTTCACCACCCACTTTGGGTGGTGTTGATAAATCCTCCCTGCTAATACTTATCCGTCCAACAACCACCCTTTGGGTAATTATCATGAATGATCTTCTTGCTCCATTTCCAGCCATGTTGAGCATTGGTAGCTTGTGATGCAATCCCTTGGGTGGTGCTTTTCAAAAAGATACACAAACACCCTTTTTGCCCGTTGCAGTCGAATCGTCGCCTGAGGGCATCCGGGCGATGGCAAGCCCACTGTGTCCTGAATCGATCCCCGCGACGTTGGAGGCCGTCGACGGAGTCAGAAATAGCAAGAAGTTTGGTTAGGAACACACAAGCAAGAACAGAGACAAGCAAGGACAAAGGGAACACAAAAACAAACAACTAACAGGTTTTCCTGGCCTTATAAATCAAACAAAACATGACGAGAGATGTGTATATACAAAGCTTGCAGCTCTTGGAGTACCAACGAAAACCCATTCATGGAACACTTTCAATGCAAATCTGTTGTCGCAGTAGTGATGCCATCTGTGTATAAATCATGGATTTGTGATGATTTGTGCAATCTTGTACCACCAGAACTTGTTTTTGTGTAAGGACCACTTTCTCCTGGCTTCCTTATTCATTGTCAGCATGGACCTCAAGACTTTCTTTTGACCACTCACATATATGCGGAGAACACCTAAAACCGGTATCCTGAGCTGTCCGCTGCTATATGTGTTGGCTGTTAGTCACAAATTGTAGGACAGCCAAAAAACATGTTTGCCTCCTTTGGCTTTTATACCTGGTGCACCAATCGCGAACTCTCTGTGGAAACCCGAACAACCTATGCCCGATCCAACCATCGGGGCGCTCAAAATGCTGATCTTCTCCATCCGACGCCACCGCAGTCCGTGAGAACATAGCCCGGAGGCAGCGAGAAGCCTAAGACCTGATGGTGGCAGTGGTCGGGTGTTGGGTGGGTTCGGTGCCCGCGGTGGCGAAGGCCACATACCGACTTGAGAACTCAATGTTGTTTGTAGATCTGTGGAATGACTGGTGAATGTCGGGAATGCCATTTTAGTGATGTTTGTAGTATTAATCATGCATCCATCTTCCACCTTTTCCCACAAATTCTTTGGAGCCAGGGCGGTGTCTGGGTCTGTTTGCCGTCCTTGGACGATCACTGTCAACTTCCAAAGAGCACGAGGGAAGCAAACGTCTTGGGCTAAAAAGTTTGATCGTAGAACCTCAGAAGCCAATCACTAGCTGGTAAGGCAAATACACCTCCGAATACCGGAGAGAGACCTCAAAAGGGAAAACTTCTAGATTCTAAGTATTGAGAACACGTGAAAGCTCGTGGATTTCCTCTTGCAAGCAAGGCTTTGCATGTGCAGCATCATCGCAACATCACAAGCTGTTCATGCCACATCGTTCAGACACTTTGGGCACTGGGGGGGGTCCATTCACGCCAAATTGGCGTCGTCCACAGGGGGTCTCCCTAGGGCTCCTTGCTTCCTGCATGTGTGCAAAAGTACGTCTGGTTGGGACACCGTATCCACTCATGGCTCGGCGTTTCCGCTCCTCAAACGGCTCGGTGTTTCGCCCTGCTCCGCCCTTCCCGTCATGAAGAATCTAGGTCCCATGGCATTGGCCACTGGATGCAGCGCGAAGACCACTGATAACGTCACACCCTGAGGAGAGGAGAGGGTCAACAAAACGAACATCAATGGTCGTGGCTGCAGAGTGACACCCAAGTTGCAATGAAAAGCACTGTCTCAGTGGAAAGTGTTCGGAGTCGAGAGGCGTCATATAAATCGCAGGCGGTATTGACATCATATGTAATTCTGCATCTATTTTGTTTCGGGTACCATCTCCAAATAGCAGCCATGATCTGGGACCATTGTGAGGACATTGTGCAAGACAACTTGACAAACGTATTTCAATGGCCTGGCGATCATACCTACGTACGTGTGTTGGCGAGAGCGAAGACGGTACGATGGAAAACAAACACGACGAAACTGTTGGGAACCGGTCGTAGTAGGACCCAAAAAGGGATCGATGTAACCTATAAGCCTAAGCCTATATTAGTTGTCACAAAAACATAAAGCCAATGGCAAGTGTTACGCATACAGTTGCATCAAGTGGCTATTGTTTGACACAGATTGGACGCCGAGTCTTTGGGCGCCGAAGAAGAACGAACATCCGAACATCACCGGAAACGCCAATCTGTCCGATCCATGGTGGCAGTAGGTACGTTTGTTCTTTGTCCTACATGACGGGGTGTGACAGTTGGTGGTTTTTATGTAGGTCTTCTCGCCGCACGGGTGTTCCTTCGCTCTCGGTTGGGTGGGCAAAATCCCTTCCCTCCGCGTGACCGATGTGCCGCGTTGGGTGGGCCCCCGTGCAGCGTCTCCGTGCTCCGGGAGGATGGCACGATGCGTCTCCGGTGTGACGTGCAAATGGGTGAAGAAGTCATCGTACCTGGGATCTGCTGTGATGGTTGACGTACCTTCTTGAGCACTTGACGTACCTTCAAGTCGTTTCTGAAAGGGCCTCTGTGAACAAAGACAAACCACATGGTTTACAGCAAGTCAGGGGACTAGATGCCCTCCACCAAACGAAACCCGGATGTTTTTTGAGGTGATGGGAAACTGATACGCTTCTCTCAAGGACTTCTATGAGATATGCGTTTTCTATTGTCATGTGTTTAATCAGGGCTGTTCTATTGGCACACATCCGTCCGCATGGTTACTTTGTATATATCTGGAGGGTATGCAAGAGTAGCTGCTGTAAGAGTACAAACATGTAAAGCACATAAAGCAAAGATATTGGCAAACAAACGAATTCCTATACCACTGTGTTGGTAGTGAATAAGCACTCAATAGTGTGTAATTAAATTGGCAGAATAGGAAACATCACGTGTATTGACAGCTTGCGTACATAGCTTGAATCTGCGTTAAGTACTGCGTTAATTATACATTATATATACACATGCTTTTGGAGATGCCTGCCTGCTCATTTCATTTTGATAACACACAACAAAAAGACGGAGGGCATCAAATCGGGCCGGAGGCGTACAAAAACAACATCGTGTCATTGATCCGTCTCGGCTTTCAGCGATCCAACCAAACTCAGTGGCGCATACAAGTTTGCATTGTAGTAGCGATGGCCTCTACCCTAGTAGCGATGGCCTCCACCCTAATAGCATCTAATAGCGATGGCCTCCACCCTAGTAGTGATGGCCTCCACCCTGTTCAAAGCAAAGAAACATTCAGGTTGCACAACCAGTTAATCACGGCCAAGTGGCTGATCTCAAGTGCCCACCAGCCCGCCCACCCACCCATGAGCTCAGATCCACAAACATGCACGCAGCACCAAAGGTTGCATTGAACCGAACATGCCATGGTTCCCCTGGAATTGACTGTCAACATCTCCCTCTGCAATCAAAACACTCTGGGCGCGACATGAGAGTAAATAAAATATTGGTTTCGACAAAAAAGCTTCCCCCAAATGCAGCCATTTGCTGCTTGTCACCAGTCTCAGACTTGCCGGCGCTTCAGAACCACATTGGTACCGTTGTCGTTCGGACCCGATCCGCCCTGGGCCCCACGCCCATCGGGCACACCATCTCTTCGCAGTTCATTGTGCACCTGGCGCACCCATCGGTGCCGCCCACCGGGCCCAGCGGAGCCGGGTCGGGGCAGTTGGGCGGTTCTCCAATCCTTTTGATCATCCCGATATAGATCGAACACTTCTGGGCTCTCCGTAGTGACCAGTTGCTAAGGGGTTAACCTGTTTAGCGAGAAATCCCTTCCTAAACCAAAAGGATCCTTGCAAAAGGATATTAAGAGTCTAAGAGTAAACGCCTAGTAAACACTCAAGGCTTGGGCTGCCGTGACCAGTCAATTGAGGGCTCCAGACTTGGACAAAAAATCCAATCCCGATCAAGGTTTCAGTGGAACACTGGAAATATCAAGCTCTGAGGTCATGTCCCGTGTCCGGATCAAACGTCCAAGATCAAACGTCTTTCACCACTTTCTCGATGTTCCTTTTGTTCGGACTGGCTCGAGCCGCTCGAGCCCCAACAACGCTTTAGAAGATGGGAGTTGATGGAAGCATCGACAGGCTGAACGTGAGAATCACATCAACAAAAACCGAGCTATCTCGAGTGGAAATGATTGTTATGTGATGTTATGTGATTGTCATCGACTAATTGCGTGATGTGTCTCATTGCCACTTTCGATGACGACTGATCTCCCAGTCTTTCGGGCAAGTATCCATCCCAGCATCCATCCCAGTGTCCATACGGTTTCTCAGATTTTGTGTGTCCCACCACGACCACACCACCAACACGAGTTTGTAGAGAAAGCATCGTGCACATGCATCGTGTGCCATGTTGACAAGACACAGCATGAATGCATAGTCATAGCACGGTATAACAGTAACATGAACATCAAATGAACACAAAATGCAACCTGCATTAGCGTAGGCAAGCCGCAGCATCAACACATCATTTTTTGAAAACAACATGTCTAGATTGGCTACGTTGTCAAAGATGTGAGGCTGTCTATCTCTCGTCTTAGATTGAATGCTGATGACAATCGTCCAGATTTACAGTGTCTTCCTATACAAACAACATCAACAATCACACACACATATATATATATAAGCTACGAGTACATATATATATATATATATATATATTATATCTGTGCATCCGTAAGCACATGGCAGTTGGTAAAATCGATCCAAATTCAAAAGAGCTGCCGCACGCTGCAAGAACTTTGCGGTACGCGCAGTGTCCCATGGCATTGCTGGGAGCTGGCACTGCAAAGTCACGGACGGCCAGCGCCAGAGTGGCACACGTGAGCACACGTGGTAAGGGATGACCTCGGTGGTTTCAGCGGTGTGTTTCCAACATTGTTGACGATCTAAAGGAGGGAGAAACACTATATCATGTGAAAACAATGCTTGGTGTTGGTGTTGTTGATGTTGTGGGTATCTGGTTCAGTGTGCTTTCTTCCATACACAATTACTTGCAGTACTGGGGAATCCGCCAAAGTTCTAGTGATCTTCCCCACACTGCCACACTGCCATATATAAGGCGAAGCGAGGCAAGGACTGGCAGCTTGCAGTTTCTGTATTCTAGTATCAAACCTGGGCCTAGAGTAGACTCCCCGGCCATGTTCCAACCTCGAAAAGCGTCCCGGTCACTTGGATAGTCCTTCGATCTGAAGGAGGGCGCGCAAGAATCTTCTCTACCAGAGGACCCACAAACCATCAAAGACATGGTTAACCGTACTGTGGGTGTGCTTTCGTGCTCTAGAGCCCGATCTTCTAACAGTAGATACCTTGCGAGCCTTCATGTTATCCCGCAGCTTGTACATACATATATATATATATATATTGTATAATAATATAACATAGCATGTTTGCTTGTTAGTGTGGTACACTTCCAGCCTGGCTGTGCAGTGTGTGCTCATTTTTGTCACGAGCTACTGGGTCGCAACCGTTCTGGAACAAAAGTTGCCATTTGCAGTCTAGCAGCGGCTTTTGCGACATTGGACCTGTGACCAACTTCATTCTTCCACACCTTCTTACCCACAAACAATTTGCCCTGAATAAGCGAGTCACACAATGTGGCACAGTGTTGTGTTTGGCAGTGGGGAGCCGCGGTAGTCGTTGGCAGATGCTCAGTGCTCTGCGCAGCATGTTGAGTGGAGAATTTGCAGCTGTGGTTGCAAGAAAATAGACATGAGCTGACCCAATGACAGTGTGTTGCATGGTGGAAGGCCCAAAATGTGAATGGAGGCTTGACTTCAGCAGGGGTAAGAAGGCGGTGCCTGCGTGTTGCTTGTCCAATGTTGCAGTAGCCTCTTCCAGCTAGCGCAGATCAGCGGGTTGGAGAAAAAAGGTCACCGCATCGAGTTTCGACTTGGAAGAACCCCATGTTTTCGGGAGACCCACCTTGGACAGTTTCTGCGTTCCTGGTTCTTCAAAGAAACACACCAACAAACCTTAACTCGTCCCAGCATTTGCCCCAACGTGGGGTCCCAAACTTAATTAATGGGTTCTGAGGACTTTGTGAACGGGGGGTCGTGCGCCACAACGGCCCGTCTGGAACCCTCAAAAAGGTTCCACCTGTTTTTATCCATGATATTCCACCTCAGAACCCACCTCGATTTGAGGCGCCCCGCGCATAAGATGGATCCACACCTGTAACTTGCGTCACAGGCTGTCACAGGCTGTCCCGCTGTAAGGTGACATCAGGAGGATATATAGAGAGACACACTGTACATATAATATACAATTAGTTATATATATATATAATCATATAATATGCATACGCATGTTCCAAATGGGGCAACTAAGTATCCATGTCAAGAGTTCAACATCATTCACGTCCTTACTGGAAATTATTGTGCTTGCGGATGTTAAGACAAAACAAGCAAGTGTAGAGCTTAAATCCTCGGTTACTTGCAACAAGAGTATCTCAATCAAGTGTTTGTGTTGTCTCTAGAATGCTTTCCAAATTGCTTATCTCGCTTGTCTGCCGACAATTCACATTCTGGAAGGTCAATTTGAATTGCATTCTTTGTGATTGCAACTACTGCTAATGCTAACACACAAAGCCGGCAGTTACCACCCAGAAGGAAAGGTTGATGATCCGGAACGCTACTGTACTTCCCCCGACCTTTGCGCGCCTGAGGTGCTTGTGATTGCCAAACAAAGGTCTACTTGGCAACAGGGTTTGAGCCAAAAGCCTTCCACATGACTGTGTATTCGGACAACAGGAAGTTCCAAAACCAAATTTCATCCATGTCCAGCTAGCTTCACTTCTTTGTTGCTTGATCTTGGGCGTTGGACTCTCAAGGCAAACTCTTGAAGTTTCTTCTGGGAGCAAACATGACAGTTTGCACATGGGTCCTCACGGAACCCCACACTCTACATCGCCCCGAACGCAACTGTTCTTTTCAGGTCATGTCATGACGGCCAACCTCTGAAAGACAAGGTGCTAAAATAACATCTAGATCAAAAGGCACTCCCAAATATATGAGGCTTCAAGACATGATTGCGGGATCCATTTCACCATCGCCGTCTTCTTTTGGCGGGTCCCCAAACCGCATCCCGTCGAACGAACTTCTGATAGTTTCAGTTCCTGCTGGATATCTCCACACCTAGGATGGGGAAAACCGTCCTTCGTTGCAAACACTTCCTTTGTTCTGGGATGGAGCTCCAACTTTCATCACACGGGCAGCTTTCTGTATGCAACAAAAACATGTTTCTTGGGAATAAAAGACCAGCTAAGCTACTCGACCCTGAACACTTCCACAGGCTTGACTGCATGAAAAACATTGGAAAAGTGAGGCTGTTGTTGGATTCCCCCAAAAAGGGACTCGGCGTCACCTTCGTCACGTAGATGCAAATTCCGTCTACGCTGCCGTCGGAAGGGTACCGGCCGGACTTGAGGTGTCTGTGCAATCGCCAAATCAAAATGCGCTGTTGCCATTGACTGGTCAGGCTTCAGCAAGGCTTCTGCTGCAAATTGACGTGTGCCGCTTCACCCTGTCCCATGTTGACATTTTGACTTTATTTCCAGAACACGTGCGGACCACAAAAATCCAAGGGAACCTCAACATTATGCTCATGATCTCCGGTTCCTCGGCCAGCAAATCCAATGTCGCGTCACAAGCTTGGTAGGACACATGGAAGAAAACCACCCAATCTTGTACAATGGATGTGTATCTCTATAGGGAGACCCAAAACCAATGGGTTTGGGCTTAGTAGGAGGTCTCCCTATTTTGACCTTTTCAACTTTGAAGATGTTTGAAGCCCTCAGTCCAAGGCTTGAGCACATCGGAAAAACTGAAATCTCCGAAGCCCAGCGCCGCCCGGTGCGGGTTGATCTTCAAGCAACAGGCTGGAAAGGCCGTGTTCAACACAAAAGTTGAAAAAACACAAGTTGAAGAAACACTTCTCACTGTCTGTTTCGACACTTCTCACGTTCTTTGTAGCGACAGAAAACCCTTTAGGCTTCCTGCTCCCCTTTATTGAAAGCTCTTGGAGATGGAATTTCAATGTTAGAAAAGTGCACGATAGTGCACGAGTGACTGCGCTAGCCTCACCTTCCCGCTTGCAAGCACGTCATGTGATACATGCTCAGTTTAACATGCAAAGCTGGGATTGCGAGTGAATAAGGATGCAGTATGTCTACATAAATACAGGTATATGCACATACAGTCACATACATAGTCACTACGCATCTATGGTCAAAGAAGGATCCACCATCCACCCACCGGCACAATCTGGAACTAGTTAAAAAAAATGTCAAATTCAACATCTCCTGGGCTGGAAGAAAAAATCATCCGATTTCATCTTGGCACAATTCTTAGGGTGATGGATCAAACATCAGTGAACAAAATTTGTCCAAAGATACGCCGGAGAGTGACGGTTTTGGTTTGTGGGAAGGCTTGGGTTTTGCATCACTCACCACGTGCAACACACGTCTCACGTGGCATGCGTCTCACCGGCAAAATATCTGGCCAACGCAAGGAACTTTGTGTATTAACAGTGTGATATAACTTGCTTGGATAACATAGATATTCGATTAAGTAATATATATATATATGTCACACTATCGATATATATATATTATGATATATACATAGACAATCATAGAAATATGATGGATGGGTTCTACAGGCGAGGCAATCGCCACTAGGAGGCCACCGCTCTTAGGTTGGAGACCATCTCTAGAGTCGGTCTGGAGGCCATCGCTAGTAGGTTGGAGGCCATCGCTCTTAGGATCGAGGCCATCTTTAGTAGGCTGGAGGCCATCGCTAGTAGGTTCGAGGCCATCGCTATTAGGTTGGAGGCCATCTCTAGTAGGCCATGGCTCTTAGGTTGGAGGACATCTCTAGTTAGTAGGCGGGAGGCCATCGCTAGTAGGTTAGAGGCCATCGCTCTTAGGTTGGAGGCCATCTCTAGTAGGCTGGAGACCATCGCTAGTAGGTTGGAGTCCATCTCTAGTAGCTAGTTTGGTTGGAGGCCATCTCTAGCAAGCTGGAGGCCATCGCTAGTAGGTTGGAGGCCATATGGCTCTTAGGTTGGAGACCATCTCTAGTAGGCTGGAGGCCATCGCTAGTAGGTTGGAGGCCATCTCTAGTAGGTTGGAGGCCATCTCTAGTAGCTAGTAGGTTGGAGGCCATTCGTCCCTGTTGTTTGTGGCACCTACTTTCACAGTCTAACATGCAACATGGTCACTATGATGTGACAGGTCTGTAGCTTCCAATTCTTGAAACTACGACAAATACCATACCGAATCGGAGAACCCCAAACGAGTGAAAAATCCACCAGTGGTAGCCCCTTACGGTCCGGCCCTAATTGCATCTAGAAACGAAAACTTTGGAACCTGCTGCATGGGCTTGTTGGGAAACCAAACCAAGAGGCCCTGTATGAATCCTGAATCCAGGCTTCTATCAACACAGTTTGCCTACAGTGAGCCACCTTTCAGAAACTGCCGTTTGTAGAAAATCCATCGAACATCCGCGCTTGGGATATTTCGGACACGAAGTGGGGCCCTTGCCACTGCTTAAAGGAACACGTTCTACTGGACACGCTTCGACATTTGGACACGCTTCCTCTGTCCACCCCGGGCACCGGTGCCTCAAACCATCACCGGTTCCGCCGGCGAGGGTTCCGAAGCTCCTGGCGCTGACCGCTCCGGAGCTTCGACGGGAGAGGTGGATGTATCGGTCCCTGCGGCTCCGTTGGAAGCAGATCTCCAACACATCACTTTCTTCCCAAGAAGGCAAAGAGTACCCACTCCATGGGACTGGCACCTAGAGTCAACCCCTTTTCAACCTAAATATTCCAGTCCCATGGAGTATCCGAGACGGCATGGTCGTCTCCGAGACATCCCAGGTCGACGTCCAAACGCACCGGTCGCGACGTAATGGACGGACCGGTCCGAGCGAACATGGGACCGGTCGTTTTTCGCTTTTGGGAACGGTCAGCGACCCTCCGATGGGTCGAGCAAACAACTCATCCAACCAAACATGTGGCCCAGAATCATCAAGTGAAACGGGCCGACCGAACTGCGGAATGAATTCCAACTGCTGTTGGCACGCAACTTTCCAGGTACTGTCTGTATAGGATCAACAACTGTGGTTCTGTTGCAGGCATCTCAAGCACACGATGAGTACTTTAATTCGGAGGATTATGATATATGGGTGTTGATCTAAATTCCTTTATCCGGGATGCATCATCTTAGCCAAACAAAATTTACTTTAGCCAAACTTTCGCCTTCCTGCGATTCATCTTTCGCCGAAGTATGTTGTATTTATGTGTGCCATGTATGTTGTATGATGGATATCAATTTTGTTCATGTCAATGGTTTCTTCCTTACTGGCAAACACAAAATATAAATTTCACCGTTTGTCACCCTGTACGTCTCTTGTGTTTCTCCTGGGTGTCAGCAAGAATCAAAATTGCAAGAATCACCGTAGTAGCCGGTCAATCAGACTTACTCACAATGGGCTGGGGGTCAGATGTGGCAGGGTGAACTTTCGCCAAATTTTTGCCTTTTGCGGGGTAGAGTTTTGTGGCAAAGCCACCCCCCCAAAGCAGGAGCAGGAGCAGGAGCAGGAATAGTAGTAGTAGTAGTAGCAGTAGTAGGTAGTAGTAGTAGTAGTAGTAGTAGTAGTAGTAGTAGTAGTAGTAGTAGTAGTAGTAGTAGTAGTAGTAGTAGTAGTAGTAGTAGTAGTAGGTAGTAGTAGTAGTAGTAGTAGTAGTAGTAGTAGTAGTAGTAGTGGTAGTAGTAGTAGTAGTGGTGGTAGTGGTAGTGGTGGTGGTAGTGGTAGTGGTAGTAGTAGTCGTAGTAGTAGTTGTAGTGGTAGTAGCTGCAGCAGCAGCAGGAGTAGTAGTAGTGGTGGTAGTAGTAGTAGTAGTAGTAGCACTAGTAACAGTAGTGGTAGTGGTAGTGCTGGTAGTGGTGGTAGTCGTAGTAGTAGTAGCTGCAGCAGCAGTAGTAGTAGTGGCAGCAGCAGCAGCAGGAGTAGTAGTAGTAGTAGCTGCAGCAGCAGCAGCAGCAGGAGTAGTAGTAGTAGCAGCAGCAGGAGTGTAGTAGTAGCAGTAGTAGCAGCTGCAGCAGCAGCAGCAGGAGTAGTAGTAGTAGCAGCAGCAGCAGCAGGAGTGTAGTAGTAGTAGTAGTAGTAGTAGTAGTAGTAGTAGTAGTAGTAGTGGTAGTCGTAGTGGTAGCAGTAGTAGTAGTAGTAGTCGTAGTAGTAGTAGTAGTAGTAGTAGTAGCTGCAGCAGCAGCAGCAGGAGCAGTAGTAGTAGTAGCGGCAGCAGCAGCAGGAGTGTAGTAGTAGTAGTAGTAGTAGTAGTAGTAGTAGTAGTAGTAGTAGTAGTAGTAGTGGTAGTGGTAGTAGTAGTAGTAGTAGTAGCTGCAGCAGCAGCAGGAGTAGTAGTAGCAGCAGCGGCAGCAGGAGTGTAGTAGTAGTAGTAGCAGCAGCAGCAGTAGTAGTAGCAGCAGCAGCAGTAATAGTAGTAGTGGTAGTAGTAGTAGTAGTAGCACTAGTAACAGTAGTGGTAGTGGTAGTGCTGGTAGTGGTGGTAGTCGTAGTAGTAGTAGTAGCAGCAGCAGCAGGAGTAGTAGTAGTAGTAGTAGCAGCAGCAGCAGGAGTGTAGTAGTAGTAGCAGTAGTAGCAGCAGCAGCAGCAGTAGTAGTAGCAGCAGCAGCAGGAGTAGTAGTAGTAGTAGTAGTAGTAGTACTAGTACTAGTACTAGTAGTAGCTGCAGCACCAGCAGCAGCAGCAGCAGGAGTAGTAGTAGTAGTAGTAGTAGTAGCGGCAGCAGCAGCAGCAGGAGTGTAGTAGGAGTAGTAGTAGTAGTAGTAGTAGTATTGGTAGTAGTAGCAGTAGTAGTAGTAGTAGGTAGTAGTAGTAGGTAGTAGTAGTAGGTAGTAGTAGTAGTAGTAGTAGTAGTAGTAGTAGTAGTAGTAGTAGTAATAGTAGTAGTAGTGGTAGTAGTAGTAGTAG